GACAGACAGACAGTCAGACAGACAGACAGACAGACAGACAGACAGACAGACAGACAGACAGACAGACAGACATAAGAGAATAATGATGAGAGAGAGAGAGAGAGATCGACACCCTTGATACGTGCGTCCGCGGGGAGCGGGTGGAAATAAAGCCAACAGACGACAGGGTAGTGCCACACCCATCAAAACCAACAAGAACCGCGGACAGAACGCTTCGCGGGATTGCAATCGCCAACCAACTCTCGAGCCTACCGGTGCAGACAGGTTGATTCACGCGAGCACAGCCCCTCATCCGCGGCGACATCGGCCGCAAGACGCAGGAAGAATCGAGAGCAAACATTCGCTCCCCGAACTATTTGTTCGCCAAGATAGGTATGTAGTCGTGGGCGAGATGCGACCCCTACATTATGTATTAAAAACGTCGTCTCCATGAACGCAAGATTACATGAATGACTCCTGTGCGCTTTCATCCTGTGTGGCCCCGGCTAGCGCATCCAGATTAAAAGTGACGACAAAAAACCATATAGATGGCAGAACACAAACGGAGCCCAATGGACAACAACTTAGGGCTGATGATGACGACGGTACACTGTGTACCTCGTGTCGAGGTTAAGCCGCACGAGGTTGGACAGAGCAGCCAAGGGCCCGAGTCCGGCGTCCGTGATGTGGCAGAAGAAGAGGTTCAGGTCCCTCAGGCGGGTGAGGGGAGCGAGGTGGGTCATCCCCGCGTCCGTGATGGAAGTGTCTGCGAGGTTCAGCCTCTACGGTGTGGCAAAGGATAATAAAACAACAAGAGGCAAGTCGAGTCATGGTGTGTGTGTTCCCACCAGAAAACAATAAAAAAAGTAAGGAGAAAAGAGTCAGGGGAAATTGACTACCGCAAGAGTCGGAGAGATGGCACCCCCGTGTAGGCGTTTTTTTTGTAAATAGCGTATTTCACCACAACCGGGGGGGTACCAGTGCCGAAAAGGGTAGTGTTGGAAGCATCTCGTCGAGCGCTTTCCTGAGAGTTATCGGTTGGTGTTCGCACCCTCCTACTTGTGGGGAAATAGGCTAAACGAAAACGCTAACACGGGGGTGCCATCTCTCCGACTCTTACCGTACTCTGTTGAAGACACGCAACAGGAACGTGAAAACAACACCTAAAACCGTAAACGGGAAGGAAACACCCGGCAAAGGATATTGCCAAAAGAAAAACAATAAAGTCAGTATGGTGTGATCCAAGCACGCAATTAAAAACTAAGACAACCATTTTGACAACTAAGACACCCAATTGACTGCCTGTAAGAGACGCAACAAACCATCAACAGAGCGGTACACAGCTCGTTCGAAAAACAACTGTCAGCAGCCCTCGTGTCATCCGGACGTCGCCTACGGAATGTCGAATAGGGGTTGGGTGGGTAGTGTTTAGGTTTCGGGTATTTGTTAGTTTTCAGTCTTGGAGACGCGATATTTATTTTCAGTATTGGGTATTTGTTAACTTTTAGTTTTGGGCACGCAATACTTGTTTTCAGTCTTGGGGACACAACAATATACTCCTATAAAACAACATCAAGCGTCTAAAATAGTTGGGGTGGATTTATTTATTCATGTCCTGGTTTTGGCAGAGGGCATAAATAATACGGTAGTGTTTTGTTTGTGTTTTTTTTTTAGCATTTTTTAATTTCAGTGTTGGACCAACGAGCAAGAGGAAAAGAAGACGGCTCGTGCGTCACCGCACCGCTCACCTCCAGCTTGGTGAGGGACGACAGCGCTCGCACCCCGGTGTCCCCAACGTTACACCGATCCAGGTTGAGGGCCGTCAGCCCCGGGAGCTTCTGCGCCAACTCCTCCACCTGCATGTGCACGACGAGGGCGAGAACAGGCGAGCAAGCACATCATCATACAATCATCACGATCAACAGCCAAGTAAGCGGGGGGAAAAGTAACGAGGGAAAAAAAAAAAAAAATACACACACACACAAATGCCAGCTCCCGGCCTCACCCACGTAGAGAGAGAAAGAGGGAAAAAAGCGCCCGGACCGGTCAAGATGCACTATTATAGCTGACTACACCAACCCAACATGAGCCGGAAACACACGGCTTGTCCCCCCACCCCCAAAAAAAAAAAAGACAAACCAGACACGTGCGCATACAGCAGTACGCAAAAAACAATAGAAAATATGCATAAAATCACACAAAAGGTTTTACGTAGACGTTCGAGGCACTGCCCCGTGCGAAAGCATGTGTGGTGTCTCTAAAACCGAACACAAACATACGCACAGGAATAGACTCTGTTGAAATTACAAAAAAAAAAAAACGCCGCAGCGAACACACGTAGGTGTTACAAGAATAGAATACTTTGGAACGGAATAAAAAAAGAAAAGAAGGAGCTTC